TGGCAGAGTACAGATCTGATAAAGAAGGAGTTCATTCTGGCAGAGTATATATCTGGTAGAAAAGGGGTTAAAGATGGCAGATTATAGACATGGCAAAGAAAAAGCACACAACCGGCAGGGAAGGGGTTAATGCGGGGAGCACAGCAGGCAGGGAAGGGGTTAATACTGGGAGCACAGCAGGCAGAGAATGTGTTAATGCGGGGAGCACAGCAGACAGGGAAGTGGTTAATGCTGGAAGCACAGCAGGCAGGGAAGGGGTTAATGCTGGAAGCACAGCAGGTAGGGAAGGGGTTAATGCTGGGAGCACAGCAGGCAGGGAAGGGGTTAATGCTGGGAGCACAGCAGGCAGGGAAGGGGTTAATGCTGGGAGCACAGCAGGCAGGGAAGGGGTTAATGCTGGAAGCACAGCAGGCAGGGAAGGGGTTAATGCTGGGAGCACAGCAGGCAGGGAAGGGGTTAATGCTGCAAGGTGAGCTGGGAGGGGACAGCAGGGCTGGGAGGCTGCAGTCTTGCAGTGGCATCCCTGCCCACCAATGGGAGAGAGCTGTGCGCAGCCAATCAGCTGTCAGGACGCGCAGAGGGGGCGTGGTTTCTGGCAGGGGGGAGTAGGAGAAGCACAATCAGCTGGCAGCAGGAGCAGCAGAGTGAGTGTGCAGAGGGCAGCTAAGGGGGCGCAGGCTGATCACCCCAACATCCAGCTGTGACATCACCCTCCAGGCGCCCCCCATTCCCTGGAGGAGCCCCCGGGACCCCCCCAATCACCAGCCTGTGACACACAGGAACTGTAAACCCAGCAGAGCTTCCTCTGTGCACAGCCCCCTCCCCAAACTGCACCCAGCCCCCCTCCTCCTCCTCCTGACACTCTGCTGCCCTCCCTGGAAAAGTTTGGGGTAAGTCTGCTTGTTTGTGCTGTGCTCCGGGATGGGAGGGGTTGCTGGTGTAGCTGCTCCCCCTTGCTGGGCTTTCTTTTTTTGGGGGGAGGAGGGGGTGGGGGGATCAGCAGGGGAAGTGGATGAGTCAGAGCTGTGTGCAGCAATTCACTGTCAGCTGTAGCTGGCTGATGGGCCTTGCCCTAGAGGCTTGCAATCTAAAAATACGTTTCAGCGACTCATCAGAATTGTCACCTTATCCAGCCGGTGACATAAGCCCCTCCCCCCATTGGAAACTTGCTGCATGCAGACAAAAAAGCCGTACGTGGAGGCCGCCAGCGCTATAGAGGCCTATGAGACTCGGGTGGTATCAGAGCCCGGGGGGACGCCATGCTGTCAGCTCTGCCAGTCCTCGTCTGAACCAACTGCTACCGGCGCCTACCGTGCGCCCAACGAGGAAGCGGTGAGTGCGCCAATCTTATCTCTTCATTCCCCAATTTTTAGGGTTTTTACATCGTCGCTGAGAAATATTTGGGGATCTCCCTGCGATTTAGCGGCGTGCCCAAACCAGGGCGGCCAATCAGATCGCTGCTTTTCGGCGTTCGATACGGTTGTGTCAGAGGCCCTTGCGATCGGACAGCTTGCCATCCCGTCATGTGACTGCGGGCACGACGTGTGTAGGAATGCGGAGCCTTGTACCTGCCCATGTGTAATGTGACCAATTCCCCCCAGTGATCAGTCTGCTGCAGGCAGGAGGAAGCATTTCCTCAGTCTCCCCTCCCCCGGTGATCAGTCTGCTGCAGGCAGGAGGAAGCATTTCCTCAGTCTCCCCTCCCCCGGTGATCAGTCTGCTGCAGGCAGGAGGAAGCATTTCCTCAGTCTCCCCTCCCCCGGTGATCAGTCTGCTGCAGGCAGGAGGAAGCATTTCCTCAGTCTCCCCTCCCCCGGTGATCAGTCTGCTGCAGGCAGGAGGAAGCATTTCCTCAGTCTCCCCTCCCCCGGTGATCAGTCTGCTGCAGGCAGGAGGAAGCATTTCCTCAGTCTCCCCTCCCCCGGTGATCAGTCTGCTGCAGGCAGGAGGAAGCATTTCCTCAGTCTCCCCTCCCCCGGTGATCAGTCTGCTGCAGGCAGGAGGAAGCATTTCCTCAGTCTCCCCTCCCCCGGTGATCAGTCTGCTGCAGGCAGGAGGAAGCATTTCCTCAGTCTCCCCTCCCCCGGTGATCAGTCTGCTGCAGGCAGGAGGAAGCATTTCCTCAGTCTCCCCTCCCCCCAGTGATCAGACTGCATCATTGTATAACAAGGCGAGGGGCTGATCTGTTCCTCTGCGGTGCGTTGTGTTCGGGGAAAACGTGGTACTCCTGTAGCGGAATCTGCTGCGTGAGCTGCTTTCCTGCGCATGCGTCACCCATTGGCCGACGCACAACAAACGTGGAGAGAAATGCACGCGAATGTGCACAGCCGTGACTCAGGATGTGAAAGTGTGAGCGGGGACTCGGGGAAACGTGACCAATGGCTGCAGAGTTTCAAGATACTCCGCCCACGACCCATTCCAGGCCCAGCCAAGTTTATTTTTAAGGATTCTTACTTAAAGGGTCTCTCCCCCTGATCCCTGCCCACCATTCCCTGCCCCCTTAAAGGGTCCCTCCACCAGTTCCTTATAATCGATTTTGAAAATAATCGTTAGCTGCTGCTCTACACGGTAGCGCACCTCGGTCCGCTGGTGTTTTTGTGTTGTCATGGATTCGTAATGGCGATCCCACGCACCTCCCGTTCCGGTACCACAAAATTTTGCGTTGT